TGTGGGGAGGCATGTAGTGTGATCCCAGAGGCCAGGCTACACCGATGAGGTTTAGACAGTGTTCCACCTGGCTGTGGACATAGCCTTTCCCACAGCTTGCTGAAATTAGTACCAAATCTCAGTGAAGATTTTTTTCAGCAATCCAATTGTTTCAATTGTTTTCAGCAGGTTTTGTTTGAAGTCCAGAGTGAGTCATCTGTTATTTATTGTGTCAGGTTAGAAATTAGTATCTTAATAGAGTAGATGGCACAAACAAAAGGAAAAGAGAAAAAAAATACAGGCAGAGTACAAGCATAGAGTATACAAACATAGAGTATCTGATGTGGAGGCACATTACTCTTGTTTCTTTTTTTTTTTAATATCTACATCATATATTTTTGTAGTCCATTGGACATTATATTGAAAAGACTTGCTCTGTTTTCAAACAGATTGTATTATTTGCCTAATTATATTGCCACATCTGTTTGGATACTGAGTGCTATAAATTAAAAGAGTCTAAACTGTGGGTAATTACAGACAGCTCAATGTTTGGCTTTACAGGTTCTGTGGACCACAGGTGTGCCTGAGAACAGCAATCAGAGCTGGAGCCAGCAGAAATCCTCAGTAAGAAAAACATTTCTCTAAAGACACACTGGAATTGAAAACCAGATTTCCATTCATTCAGACTGGGAAGCTCTTTTAAAATGAGATAAAAAATACCAAAGTAGGTGTTACAGAGGGCAGACAGAATCACTAACCCAGGTGTACTGCTCAATTAACACATTCAGTACTGTGGTTGTGGAAGATTGATCAAACCACAATACTAGGGAATTAGAAATTATGGAATGCTAGTAACTGCAGTCTGGTTTAATTTCTTCTGTTTGTATTTCCTGAGTAAGCTGCACAAGCAGAGCTAGGTCCTGTTTGTAAAATAATACCTACTTGTATGTTCAGGATCTGTAACATCTTGTTGTTAAAGACAAACAAACAAATAAACAAACAGACCACTTCTGCAAGATAAAAAATTCCTCACCACAAGTGTGGTTGGGATTTGTAGGGTTTGATAAGAATTTCTATTGTTTGTTTTGATTGGCTGTTTTGGGGTTGTTTTTTTGTTTTGGTTTGGTTTTTGGTTTTTGTTTGTTTTGTGGGATTTTTATAGGATTTTTGGTAGAAACAAATATTTCTTTTAATGGAAAATAAGGTATCTGATCCTCACATACAATAAAAATACAGCTGCAGCACTTTAGATTAGCAGAGCACTCATTAACAAATTTGGATTTGGTGATGCAGGAAACTATACAGACATTTTGCCTGCTAATATAGAGTAAAGTAGTGAATAAGAAAAGGAACCCACACAGCCCAGGACAAAATATACCTTGCTCCCACAAAGACCTGGGAAGATGCTAATTCATTCAGCTGTCCTCTCTGTCATAGGCTGAGTTTCCAATCTGCTCTGCTGTGTCCTCTGCCTCTTGTCCTGCCTGCTCCAAGAAATAAGCAGGTAACATAGGGAGTTGGCTGACTAGCATAAAACAGCTCATTTTGCACATCCTTTCTGCGTTCTAAAAGGCTGTTAAAAATGTCTGTTGTGTCTTGCTGACCCCTTAAGGTAAACTACTCAGTTTGCTCTCCTATCTGCAAATTTCCACTGAATATGAACACCATATTAGTGTTTCTCTCTTTATATTCAAATGTTGCTGTAGTACTTCAGGAACGCCTTTCTAAAAAGATCAGTTCTTGTGCCTCTTGGGCATTAATTTTGCTACTTTGATTTTCAGAACCTTTTCCTAACTCTCCAAACAATCTAAATAGGAGGGGTGTGATTCTAGAATGCGGTATATCCTAAACAACTTTCTGCTTCATTCTGATTTATTATCTTTTTTGGTAAATTTCAAAAAGCAGCATATTATCCTATCTGACAAGGAGATTCCTAAGTGGTCTGAGGTCAGAAGAAGTTAGATGTATATGTCTTGGCAATACATCTTATAACACATTGATTTAACCAACTTGGCTTCACTTTTAATTTTCCTTAAATTAGTTTTTACTCCATTATT